AAATCAAATGTCCCGAAACACATGTAAAGCTATTTAAAATCAATTTCAATTTATAAAATTAAAAGGCCAGAATGTGCTCCGAAGCCTCTAAATATTCAAGCTTATGAGTCTGAGAATGCTAAGCGGGCAATGGTCTGCTTTGCTATAGAGCGAGATCATAAGTCACAAAATTTGGCCAATCCAATCCTCCCCTTTACATGAACTGGAGTTGAGAAGATTGAGCCCCCGCTGAGCGAGTCTGATACTCCTAATGAGGACTGGAGTTGACAGGACTAATGATCTTATTGATATATATAATTCAATCGTTCCCCCATGATGGTTGTGTTGATCGAAGATTTCGACCGAAGGAGCTTCAAAGTCTATTTTGAATTCAATTATTTTAATTACCGAACTCGATCCTCTGTAAGTGGGATAGAGACGACAACAGAGTCCAAACATAAATAATTCTCCGATGATAGTCATGTTGATCGAAAATTTCAACCGGAGGGGTCTATTTTAAAATTTTTCTTCAAAGTGTATTTTGAATTCAATTAATTCAATTACTAAACCTGATCCTCTGTAAGAAGAACAGTGTCGACAGAGTTTAAAGATATCAATTCTCTATGATGGTCGTGTTGATAGTAATACCTGAAGCGTTCATTTATAAAATTAGAATATTTTAAATCATAAAAAGAATATTTAAATAAAAATTTACCACCTAATGCTTAATGCAAAAAATCTTATGACAGTAAGGATGTGGCCCGAGTCCTTTGTCCGCGTGATTCTTGCCACCAAATGACACCACAAAGAAGCGGTTACGATAACAATGATCATTTTGTCAGGTTGGGTCAACTACCTAAACCCTATAAGGTCCCCTTGGACGAAACAACATATGGCTGCTGACAAGGATCATTTTGTCAGGTTGGGTCAACTACATTCGCTTACTAAAACAGGGTCCATGACAATCCGAAACGACGAAACCATGGAATCCACACATTTGTCATCGTTTCCCATACCATTTGCTCTAAGCTAATGGTGATTATAATTTTTATAAATTTAGATTTTTAATTTTGTTGCTACGATATGCTAAGTTAGAATACTTAGCACCTAATGATTAGCCTTAATAGAAAGTGCTCTCCCGTTATTGAGAAGGGTATTTAACCATAGGGGCTGCACTTATGGGAAACCTCAAGCCCCAGAGCTTAAAGCCCCCGCAAAAATGAAGGTGAAATCTCTGGGTAGTGTTTTATCTACTCTCTCATATTCCTTCTGAAAATTCAAATTGGAACGTGCAAGGCGTTGAGCTTTCGGTGATAGTCTGGGGTGCTTTTCGAATTTTCAGAGTCCACATTGGGGACCCTCTCGAACGCCTAATTACATCGATAAACGGTGGTTCCTTACCTTGATTTATGATTACACTCAAATGAAGATGTTATATATCTTAAAAGACAAATCTGAAAATGTTACTTTAAAAAATTTTCATTTATTCATTTTGATCCAATTCAAAACATCAATTCAAGTCCTTAAAACAAACAACGGTCGTGTATTTTTTAGTTCTATAGTAGAGGGATTTTTGCTAAGGGTGTTCTCCATCACAACTCTTGTACGTATACTCCTCAACAAAATGAGGTAGCCGAGCAGAAAAATCGTCACCTACTCGAAGTTGTCTGTTTCATTATGTTTTAATTGAATATCTCATTACAGTTTTAGAATGATGTAATACTTACCGCCACATAACTCATCAATAGAGTCCCCACAAAAATTCACAAATTGCATACCCCATTCGCAGTCTCGAGATCCTATTTTCCTATCAATTGATTTTTCTCCACTTTAGACCCAAAATATTTGAGTGCACAGCATTTGTTCGAAACACTGCCCCAACTTATAGTAAACTTGATCCCTAGTCAATCAGGTGTATCTTTCTCGGATATTCTGTCACTCACAAGGGTTGTCGTTACCTCGATCCTATCACAAATAAACTTTATAAAGTGTTCCCTACTTGCCCGACAGTGCTAGATTTTTTGAACACTACTCCTTTTCCGACTTTGATAGATATACCACATGCTCCTCTAGACACTATTATCGAGGAACAATCTATCCCACTCGATCCACCATCTACCATACCAACATCTCCTAAACCCAGTATCCATGTCTATACTCGGCACATCAAACCCTCGGTTGAGACCCGTCCTAATACCCCTACTCGTGAGCCTGCTACCCCTTTACAGAACTTGGAATCCGCCCCGCCAACATCCCGGCACTACACTTGTGGAGATTACTCGTGCTCCGAATGAAAAGGTGAGTTATACCATTTCTCTCATGCTGCGAATGAGGATGTGAGTTACATCAAACCCTCGGTTGAGACCCGTCCTAATTAGAGTTGTCCAAAATGCTCGTTGTTCGCAAACAGCTCGTGTTCGACTCGTTAAATAGCCTGTGTTCGGCTCGTTCGTTAAGGAAACGAGCCGAACACGAACAAGTTTTTAAAACTCGAATTATAAAGCTCGAATTATAAATGAGCCGAACACGAACAACCCTTTGTTCGCTCGTGTTTGGCTCGTTTTAGCTAGAAATAAAAAATTTCGCTCGTGTTCGGCTCGTTTTAGCTTGAAATAAACGAAATTATATAATTATTTATATAAAAATATATTACACATATTATTTATATAATAATATATTATATATGTTTATATCTAAGTTTAAATTGTAATTGCTCTTGTGGTATTGTGGTTATGCACCTTGTTTTGCATACATTTGGTTCAGGTTCGAATCCAGCACTCTACATCTATTTTTTCAGTTTAATTTTAACGAGCTAATTTCGAATCGAACACGAACACACTGTTCACGAGCCGTTTTCGAACACGAACCAATTTCGAACACGAACAATTTCGAACGAGACGAACACGAGCCCAGCCTGAGCTCGCTCAAGCTCGGCTCGTTTACAGCCCTAGTCCTAATACCCCAACCAGGCATGCTCTCTTTATTTCATAGCAAAATATGTCTTATTCCACAGCTTGTCGCCAACCTACAAAGCATTTGTCACTTCTTTAACTGATCATCGTCTTCCATCTACTATTACGAAAGCATTAGCGGACCCTTCCTGGAAGGCTACAATAATGGATGAGATGAATGGCCTTTGGTGAAATCATACGTGTGATACTGGTAATCTTCCTCGGAGAAAGAAAGCAATTGGTTGTTGGTGATCATCAACATTAAATTTAACTTCAATGGAACCTTTGAACGCAATAAAGCACGATTGGTCACCAAATGCTGCTCACAAACCTATGTAGTTGACTATGAGGAAATGTTTGCTATAGTTGCGAAATTGAACACCATTTTGGTCTTGTTATCCATTGCTCTGAATTTGGATTGGCCCTTACTACAACTGGATGTCAAGAATGTCTTCCTTAATGACAATCTCACAGAAGATGTGTACATGTCTTCACCTCCAGGCTTTGACTTCTTTTCGGGGACAAGTGTGTCGACTGCGGAAGTCTCTACAGACTGAAGCAATCCCCCTGAGCCTGGCTCAGCAAGTTCATGCAGGTGTTAGTGGGTCATGGGCTCTCTCAAGAGCAATCAGATCATACTCTCTTTTTTCAGCATTCCTCTAATGGGCAAATTGCAATCCTTATCATCTATGTCAATGTATTGTGCTCACAGGTAATAATATGCCAGCATTAGAATCTCTTAGAGGCATCCTAACCAAATCATTTGAAATGAAAGACTTGGGGTCTCTCTGATACTTCTTAGGCATGAAAGTTGTTCGGTCCTCTCAGGGCATTCGACTTTCCCAACAAAAATATGTGATAGACCTATTGACAGAGACCAACCTTCTACTTTACATACCAGTGGTTGTTCCAATGGGCCCCAATGAGAAATTGGCTATGTTCCCAATATTATTCCAGTGAACAAGACACGCTACCAGCGCCTTGTAAGGAAACTAATTTATCTCGCATATACGTGCCCCGATATTTGCCACGCGGTAAGTATTGTAAGTCAGTTCATGCATGACCCCTATGAGCATCATCTCGCAATTATCCACCAGATCCTCCACTACTTAAAAGGCACACCGGGATCAGGTTTGTTATTCTCGCGCCACACCACTCGTTCTATTACAGTTTATACTAATGCTAAATGGTTCGGGTCTGTCTATGAATGACGATATACCTAAGGGTATTGTTTATTCGTGTGGGAAAACCTTGTCACCTGAAAAAAGCAAGAAACAGTCGGTGATTGTCTGAAGCAGTGCAGAAGCCGAGTTTCGTTCCATGTCTTTTGGAATTTGTGAAGTGCTTTGGTTACGCATCATGCTCCGTGAATTGTGTATGTCAGTCTCTGCTCCTCTACAACTGTTGTGATAATAAAGCTGCAATTAACATTGTTCAAAATTCGGTTCAGCACAAAGCATGTAGAGATTGACAGTCACTTCATCAAGGAGAAACTCGGTTTTGGGGTGACTTGTGTTTCATTTGTCTCATCCAGTGCTCAACTCGCAGATATACTCACAAAGAATCTTTCTCGACCGTTGTTTGACAACTTCAAATCCAAGTTGAACACAATAAACATCTATGCTTCAACTTGAGGGGGAGTTAGAAGATATTAGAAGATTCATTTATGTATTAGAAGATATTAGAAGGTTCTTCTATTTATTGTGTTGTCTTTCTTATTATTTCTTTTTATATGTATTTCCTAGTTTATGTCTTTCCTTTTCATCTTTTAGATGTATTAGAAAAGATTTTGGTATTTTATATTTACTTTCCTATACCCCTTGTATTATGTATTTATACCCCTTTATCATCTTTTAGATGTATTAGAAAAGATTTTGGTATTCTATCTTTATTTTCCTATACCCCTTTTGCTGCTCAATAAGATTATTTCGCTCTATTCTCAAAGCTAACAAATTGTGTGATATGTACGTAAATGCCCTAATAAAAAATAAAGGAATTCTAGAGCATACAAATTAATTTTATCTTTCTAAATGAAATTAAAAAATATTTATTTTACCCAATAAAACATACCTGAGATCCAAGTTTCCGTTCACGGATTATAAGAAACAGTGCTGCAAGCAACAAGCATATTCCATGGCCCCAATCACCAAACATTACCGCAAAAAGGAAAGGAAACGTTACAACTGAATAAACAGAAGGATTTGCCTCCTGATATCTCGCAACACTGCAAGAGTAGGCTATTAATCAATAATGGAAGTTTCATTAGTTTAAAATTGATTTGTACCTACTTGTAGATATAAAAAATTATATTTTATATCAAAATAGAAAAAGGTGTCAAAATTGTCCCCTAACTCTTTGCAGGTGATTATTTTAGTCCAAAAGTTTATAAAAGTGCCCATTTAGTCAACTATTTTTAAAAATGGGCTGAAATAGTCCCAACAAAGGACCATTTCAGCTCCATTTTAAAGAGTTCGGGGACTAATTCAGCATTTTTATAGACTCTGGGACTAAAATGACCTCATGTAGACATCAGGTAACTATTTTGGCACTTTACACTCAAAATATAAAGCATGGACTATTTGCAAGAAAATGGATAGAGACACACCCATATGCATCGACTATTTCCTGAAAAGCATGAGTAAATCGATTGGTTCTAAAATATGTTGGAGGTGATTCTGTCGCTTCCATCACATGAAATATTATCCCCAACTGTGAGTTGCTGTCAATTGTTGCACGTTGTAGCGCATCTTTGATCTATGATGAGATAGAAAACGGGGCAAAATTAGCATCACCATTACTTCATCGGATTAGAAATAAGACTTCTAAAATTTCAAACAGTATTGACATTTTCTGAAAGAAAAAAAATAACAATAAACTATAGGGAAATGTATGCATAGCACACAATTCTTATGTATTTACTTATCTTGCACCTAAACTTATATGTTTACATACATGAAACTTTAGTGCTCCAATAGTATGCATGAAAAGGTATATTTGACCTCTTAAAAGTGGTAATTGTGCTATTTTGATGTGATATTAAAGATTTGAGTGCTATTTGTGTAAATATAAAAGTTTAGGTGTGAGATATGTAATTACATAAGAATTATGTGCGAGATAGCAAACCTGAGGTTTAGCAAATGCAGGACACCATCCTTCACCAACAAGGCATTTTTTGGTAACATCAAAATTGAGTTTGTTTAAAGTGTCATAGACAGATTTCTCCTTCTTAACCTGGGAAAATAAAATAGAAATCTCTACTCAAGGATGAATATCTATATTAAATAATTAATAAAAAATCAGGTTGCCTTTTTTCCAAATTTCAAATTCAACAAGAACCAATTAATCTGTTACAAAGCCCTAAGAAATTACCATCATTGTCCACCTCCAAAGTTGGCAACCAATTGAGCTCAATGCCTGGTTTCTATGATGGATACCAGCATTCAAAGTGGTCTCAAGTTCTGAGAGACGTGATAAAACCTGAAATAAAACATCGCAAAATGAAAAGAAATTGTTTAGAAAGTAGGATTAGAAATGGCCATTGTTCAGCATTCATACTTCTCTTGAAAATTACGTTAGGCATGCAGTACTTCTATGATTCCTCAGCACGCAATATTATTCGAACGCATATTTTATAGCTTGCTGTAAAAGTCTTTCGAGTTCATTGGCTGAGACAGCTTACAATAACTAAACTTATCTAATGCACGGAACATATTGAGTTCACAAAGTATATATTTATATATATAAACAAAATGATGAAATGATCAACGAGTTATTGATGCATGAATAATAACGGCATGTTTGCAAGGGGTACTTTCCACATATGAAGACAGTATAATTGGCTTTACATGGATAATTTTATATGAACATTGTTGTATGATAAGCATATTTACCTGATTCCTAAGTTTAAAATCTTGTCTTTTATGCACGTTCTGCAACTATCATGACATAATACTCATTTTTGCTTCTATTTTTTTCTTTGTTCATATTTATGCCCTATGTATTGTGGTCTATACTTTGTTCAATAGAATTTCACCTAGTGAGTTTATTTCTTACAAAACCAAGCCCATCCTTTGAAAATTTGAATATTATTAGTTATGCATCATCTAGTGGAGAGCTTCTAGGCTCATATTTCAGGTACCTTTAAAAGGTTGTTAAGGTTAAATTACTTAGTAAAATTTATCAGTCATGTATTCCTTAGGTGAATAGTGAATTATTGCACTAATTATGTTTCAATAGCTTTGATAATAATTAGATGATTTTATTGGATTTAGATGCTCTAACAATCTTATTGGAGTTAATACAAAAATAATACTTCTAGTAATTGTATTTTTTTTTAAAAAAATTCAGCTTGTACCCTCCCATTGGGTTTTTACGATTTCCTTTTTTAGAGTCGATATGTGGGGCTATAAACAAACCAGTGCGCTCGACGAAAAATTTGAACTTAACTCGATTCATACTCGATCAAGTTTATTTAAATTATTAAATAAATAAATATGAATATTTTTTAACTCACAGAGAAGTTAAATGAACCAAACTTGAACAAAATTCAACTTGTTAATTTATGTTTATGATTAATTTATTTTTTATTCAACAAATAGCATGTTAAATATTTGATAGTAAACTCAATGATAGATAGCTCATATTATATATGATATATTACTTAAATATATATGATTAACTAAAACTTATTTAATTATGTATTTAATAATATTATTATATAATTTAAGATTAAAAATATTTTAAGATTAATTATTAAATATACATTTATTGGGCCATACGATAGCAATATACTTCAACCACAAACTAAGAATTCAACATTTCGACATGGTCCCTCTCAATATCTTAAATCAATTCATCCAAAATGAAATATGTCAATAAGTGCAATGTGAAATTCACAGCAATTATAAAACGATCCATCGAGTCGGTGTCTCTGGGTCCAACCAGGAGATCAAATTTTGCAAGAATATCACGTTGCATTCATATATATCCCTATGCAACGACAACTAAAGAGCGTTGACAACAAACCCATAATAAAAGAAAAATACAAACTACATGCATGTGCACAAATAACTCATACAATTTATTATTCTCATTATTAGAAATGCAAGTTAAGCACTAAGACACAGTATATTTTTTAGGAAATGGAAGACTCTTATGGATAACCCAAGTAAACAATGTATTGCCATTTGTGTAAAGTACCGTTTCAGTTACTCGGGGAAGAAGAAATGAACAACCCGACGAGGAAGTGAGAGAGAGATGAAGAAGTGGAAGTAAGAAGTCAAGGAAGCTGAAAGAGAAAGAATCCAACAATCAGAAAGTGGACGAGGGGGGAGGTGAAGCGAGAGGGTAGGGAAGCCGAATGGATACTTTGGTGTACAAATCTCGCATAGAAGATGCGACAGAGGTACAAATCTCACATAGAAGATGCGACAGAGACAAGAGTTACTTGTTGGAGAGTCGAACGACGCAAGTTAGGGCTCCCTTATAGTCGAAGGCAACAGACGAGATCTCTGTCAAGCATAGGAGGAGGAAGGAGCGCCGGAAGAGATCTTGTGCCCTAACCTACCAGCAAAAATGAAGAGGAGAGGAAGAAGCATCCTGGAAGGAGTAAGGGTTGAGTTTGTGCGTTCATGTGGGAGAGAAAGTCGAAGCCAGGCTTTTGATACGGATCTCTCGCATGTAGAGGTGATCAAACCGAAGAAGAAAGGGAGAACTTGCGTTCGGGGAAAGGTAGGTTTTTTTCAACTGAGAATAAGATTAATAAGAATTTAATTAATTAAGTTATTAAATAAATATTATATTAATTTATATTATATTTATAATTTTATTAATTAAACTTTTAACTTAAGTCCATTTAATTCAAGTACCAAATAAATGTTAAAATTTTAATTTTAATTGTATTTTTGAATAAATTAATAATATTTGATATTTTTTTAATCAAACTTAAATTTTAAAGCATTGAAATCTTAATAGAATAATACAAGAATGGTTGATAATTAAATAAAAATATAATAATTGAATATTTACAAATTTATAGGTGATAACTTAATAGAAGTAATACAAGTTAAGTGCAAGCAGATCTTCTATTATCCAGGTGAGTACTGAAGTTCTTATATTATGATAATATTTTATTTCTTCTCGACCACATGCATTTAATGTTACTGTTATCGTACTGCATACCCATGATTTATGGTTCTAATGAATTTTGTTCATATTGTAAGAATGACATGTGTGCTTAGTTTGTAGCTATTAAACTTTGTACAAGAATATTGATTATTATGCAAATGAAAATGAATATTTATTAATATGTAGTGTTATTGTATGATTGTATGTGCATAATTGACTATGATGGAGTCACTCATTTATGAAACTAGTGAGAAAACACTAAGGTAC